ATCCCACAGCTTGACCATATTGTCCCCCGAGGCCGACGCCAGCTGCTTGCCGTCCGGCGAGAATGCTATGGTCTTGACCGGGCCCGTGTGACTCTCGAGCGTCTGGAGCAGTACACCTGACCCAGCATCCCACAGCTTGACCATCTTGTCGTATGAGGCCGACGCCAGCTGCTTGCCATCCGGCGAGAATGCTATGGCCCAGACCCAATCCGTATGACCCTCAAGCGTCTGCAGCAGCGCGCCTGACCCGGCATCCCACAGCTTGACCATCTTGTCGTCTGAGGCCGATGCCAGCTGCTCGCCGTCTGGCGAGAAGACTATGGCCCTGACCGGATCTGTATGACCCTCGAGCGTCTGAAGCAGCGCGCCTGACCCGGTATCCCACAGCTTGACCATCTTGTCGTCTGAGGCCGACGCTAGCTGCTTGCCGTCCGGCGAGAAGGCTATGGCCGTGACCGAACCCGCATGACCCTCGAGCGTCTGCAGCAGTGCATTCCAATTTTGATCTACCTTTGGCAATCTTCGCACCCATTGAGACGCGCACTCTATAAACTGCGTTTTTACTATACTCGTCTCCGGTGCAAAAACAAGCGCACTGCAATACGTTTGAAGTGGTGCCTGCTCAATTGCTGACCGGCTGTACAGGGTAAATCGCTTTATGTCATGAACAAATCTAGAAAGCTGGGGGCATGTATTCAACTAAGCTATTTGTTAGCTAGTTTCTGTATTCTTTGTAGTGTAGCTCACCGCTGTCATAGACTCTAGACAATTAATTGCGTAGACTCCCTCAGGAACCTTCCTCATCCACGCGAGTGCCTCAAGCCAGTGGAGGAAATGCTGCTTCAGGAAACAATGTACTTTGTCGTTGTCGTTAAGCTGAGTACTGTTCTTCTGTAGATGCTTTATCCAATAGAGACATGCGTACTGAACCTCTGTGGAAAGACATTGATCCACTCGACTCCTTTCTACGTCAGCTACAAGCGCACCAGGAGCACTAACGCCACAGATGTCTTGCTTGAGAGAGGTTGAAAGGAGTTGCACACAACGATCAGCCAGCATCTGATGGGCTTGCGTCCCCTCCACCCAGAAGTTGGGATCGTCGCACCTCTCTTTGTTAAGGAGGAAGTCCCGGAAGGAAGGATGATGCAAGCGAAGCGGGCGGCTTTGGTCCTCTGGAATATCAAGAATAGCACGCAAATCCTCTAATGTCTGGTAGACGTCCTGTTTTGGAATATCTAGAAGTCTACTTAAAGAGGTAACAGAGAGAGGGGTGAACAAGACCACTACACTTCCAAGAGTACGTTTTAGCGTTCTATACTGGTCTTCTCTCTCTTCATCCGTGAAGCTGGAGTGTATTGACTGTTTGAGAACAGTAATATATATGACGTTTAGATGCTTCTCTGGAGCCGTGGAAGCTTTACTGCTGCTGTGAATCAACGTATCAAGTCTTTTAACTGCAAACCGCTTCCCTTCGCAAATAAACCGACAGGCGGTTGCGGCCCAGATAAACAGACCGCTTGCATTGTGAACTAAACGCGTAACGATGTCTTTGCCAGGCCAACCAGGATCTAAGCCGCGTTCCTGCCCAATATGTCCAAGATTATATTCCAGGAAGACATAGATGTCCTGGTCAACAATTGACGGCGATATGTTGTGGAGTACAAGGTCCCAGTGCTCTGCGTCTGGGACTTGGTGGAACCCAGATTGAATTGGGATTTCTGGCCTGCTCGTTAGAAACACGCGTAGCCGGACTGTCTTCAACGATTGAGCTTCAGCTAAGAGCTTCACAATGGCCCGGGTGTTGTTGTCGTCGTCGCACTCGTCAAGCGCATCGACCACCAAGACGTATGAGGATGGTCTGCCGTTGCTGCCTAGCTTCGATAATGGACCAAGGACAAGATGATCCCATTGGTCTCGGAGAGATTGACTGACGATGTTGCTATGCGCTTTAAGAGAGTCACAGATGTGTTGGTATAAACCTGGCACTTTTTCAGCAAGCTGGATGGCTATGCTTGTGACAAACTTTTCTGCTCGGCCAACGTCTCCACCGCCTCGTGAGAAGAAGAAGCTAGCCCCGAGACGCTCTTGTTTGTCGAATCTATCGGCAACAGTGCGCGCAATTGTTGACTTTCCCGTGCCGGCTAAGCCGTTCAGCCAGAAGATGCAACGCTCATCTTGTCCGTCAGCCCAGCGGTATATCTCGCCGAGGAGGTTTACACGCGTATTAGGGAGGCATGTGGGCTCGTGTTGCTTTAAGTATGAGTTGAATGCTGCGCCTTCGGCATACTGTAGACAACTAAGAGGATTGTCTAGTCCTAGATATTCCCTTAGCGTCCCGCTTCTTCCGCCATCTTTAGTGCACCCACCGATATGGTATGTATCTCCGAGTTGAGCTTTGGCGTGTCCGTCAATGTAGACGTCATGGAATTTGTGTCCAGTGGCCATTGTTCATCTTAGGGCTGATTACTTGAAGGAAGGACACCTACTCCTAGCGTGGCACTATAGGCAGGGGAGAGTCGTGGAATTAGAGTTTCTGAGGGCTTGAAGTTCGCCGGATGGGCTGAGGCACTGTTGAGCTCAGACCATGCTAGATCATAACCTATCATTTCTCTATAGGCTCCCTCCACATAAATTGTCCGTACGCCCCGCTGCGCCGTCATTACAATAAGATGGCAGAGCTGTTCGGGATCACTACTGGCACTGTCAGCATCGCTGCCACCTTTACCGCCTTTACCGCCTGTGTTGACTGTTTTGGCTATACGAGCAGATTAGCCTTCCTTTCCAGGAAGAAGGGGGCTAGTCCTAATTAGGAATGATTACGTAACAGCTCGCTTACGCGCACAGCCGCCACAATAAACAATCTAACCAACCCAGCTTCACATCTCCTCCTGCCACGCCCACCAACCCACCTAACTAGGGCAGTGCAACCTTACTAGCTAATCCTAAACTACTAAAGATGCTATAGGTACACATCTTACTCTATCTACATGTTTTAAGTTAAAATCTAATTAGAACAGCTTCTAACACTCTTTACTTACTTCTAACATAGTAAATTATGTCTAATAATACTATAATAACACTAAATAATAACTAGTTATAACTTAATAATAAGCCTTTATTACTAAAGATTAATACTAAAGTTATTATTAATTTTTAAAGTAAAGGCCTAACTAAAGGCTAAAACCTCTTAGCTAAAAAGGCTAATACTAATAGTAATAGTAAGTTTTACTTTATATATATTATAATTTAAAGCTAATTAGGAAAAATAAAAGCGCTAAATAATAATAAACCTACTTTATTAAATAACATATTATTAGAACCTACTTTTTTACCTTTTATGCCTAATATGTTCTAACTAGAAGACACGCAGTCTTGCCTAAGTCTAATAGCATTGCAGGCAAGACTAAACTAGACAGTGCCTGCCTGCGCCTTTAGCTAGACTAGACTATACAGCTTACAAGGCAGCTAAAATTAGAGCTAGTAATAGTATAGTAAAAGTGTAAGTAAATCTAGATTAATCTAGATTAATATAACTTAAAAAGAAATTAAACTAATAATATTTTTTTATAGCTTACTTTTACTTATATTTAACTTATATTTAGCTATAAAGAACATTAGCAGTAATTTGCCTATTAGCTAAGTTACAGACTATATCTGCTACTGCAAGGTCTATATCTGCAGGCCTAAGGTTAATATCTATAGGCTTAGGGTCTATACTAGAACACCTAGTAGCCTTAATATAAAGCACCTTTGTTTACTCTAGGCAGACTGTACCCTTTCTAGCAGCAGTTTATGCCACTATATTCCTAGTATAAACATTATAGATATAGCATAGGTTAGGCTCTGCCTGCTCTAACTCTAATTATTTTACTTTATTAAATAGATCTAGCTAAAGCTAAGTTAAAGCTAACTAAAAGTAAAAAAAAAAAAAATTATACTTTAGCTTAAACTTTTAAATAGTAAATCTAAGTAGTCTAACTTTTTTATAAAAGACACTAATTTATATAAAATTATTAATTTAAAGCTGCTATATAAAGAGGTCTAGACTACTATAAAAATAATAAGACTCTTTAAGCGCCTAATAAACCTTAAGTTTATAAAGGATTTAAACATAAAAGTTATAACAGCTTATTTAAAGTTAGTTAAAATGCAAATAAATTAAATTATTATAGTGTGTACATAAGTTAATTTTTTTTAAAATAGCTTTAACTTAGTTTTAATTAAAGTTACACACTTTAAAGCAGCTAAGGCACTAGTAGCCTTTATAGTAAGTTAGATCTTATAAGATCTCTGCTAGAAATACTTAAAAAAAAATAGTAAGTTTATTTACTATATATATGTCTTTAACTATTTTAGCTATAGTTATGTAAATTATTACTATAGTATAAAAGGTAAAAGTTATAATTTTTAAAGTAAGTTATTTTTTTTTAAATAAAATATACCTAGATACTAACATATATTAGTAGATTAAACTAAATTTATTAAATAAAACAAAGTCTATTAGCTAAAGAAAAAGAAGGTAATGCTTAAAGATATTACTACCTTTTTAAAAAGCATCCCTACTTTATAAAAGAGTCTAGCTATGCTAACATCTACTCTAACACTAAAAGGGCCTAGATTAGCTTTAACTAAGGCAGATTTAAGCCTTTAAAAAGCTACTTTAGTTCTAATCTATAATAAACTTACTATTTCTTATAATCTAGTTATAGCTTTTATAATTAACTTATTTAGTTACTAAGTTTTAAGGACTAGGGCCTAGCCTATATAGTAAAATATGTACATAGCTTTACTAATTATAATTAAGTTATTCTAAAAAGTAATTTTTATAGATAATAAATTACTATAGTCTTAGTTTAGTTAAGTCTAAGACTAGATTAAAAATATAATAAAACTTATAATAAATAAGTGCATAAAACTTAGCAAAGTAATGCAGTCTTTATTATTCTAGTTTAACATAGTAGTAGATGTTAGCATAGCTTTTAATGCTAAAAAAGGCCTAGCTAATAGTAATAAAAAAAAAGTAAAAAGGCTTATAAATAACACTAATATAGCTAAAAGTAAATCTAAAAAAGATAAAGACCTAAAAGATACTAATAATAAAAAGTTTATAGCTGCTAATAATATAAAAGTTTCTACTAACACTTTTTTAAGTTTTAACCTTTTATTTATTAAAAAAGTTAAGACCTAATTAGCTATAAAATAATTTTATAATAAACACTTAATCTAGTTAAAGTTAGGTAATATTAAGAAAAAAAAAGTTAAGACTATAGTAAATAATCTAGGCTACACTAATATAACTGTCCTTGTAAAAGGCATGCTAAAAAAAAGAAAATTCTTTAAAAAGTGTAAGCATAGGCTTAATAATTATTAGTATCTTTTTTAGACTAATTAAAGTAAACTTTAAAAGCATTAGGTAAAGTTAGTAGAGTTACTTTTAGTTTACTAGGTTTAGATAGTTAGTTTATTTTCTAGATAGATATAAGTTAGTGTAGCAGCAGTTTACTCTAGCACTACACCTACTAATACTTTCTTTGCTAGAGTTAATAAATTAACCTTATAATAATATACTTACTGCATAAAGGATAGTGTTTATAATCTTATAATAAGTAGCTAATATAATTAGATTATAGGCTACACATAACTATTCTTGTAATAAATATAAAGTAAATTAGTAGCTATATATTATTAAAACTTTTAAAAAAATAATGCTAAAGCTTAAAACTCTAAACACTTATAAACTTTCTTAACTTTTTAAAGTAAGTAGTATTTTTATTAATTTAATTAGTAAAATGTTTTTTTTACTTTTAATATTAATTATCTGCTTTTCTTTTTTAACTAGACTAGTGCTAATAAGCCTAATCTATGCGCCTAATTGCCTAATAACAGATCCACACTAATTAGAGATCCTGTAACATGCTACTATTATAGTAGCTTATAAAAGAAAAAGAAGCAGAACTAGATATTAACTCTATTAAAAGTAAAAAAGTATTTTTATACTCTAGCTTATAATTTTCTAGTAATAACTAAAGACATTATGCTAATAAATAACATATAAAGCATTTAAGATTATAATAAATCTAAAGTATAATTAAAAAAGATTAAAGACTAGTTAAGATAACATACTTAATAAGCATTAAGCTAAACTTAATAAAAAGAGTTTTTTAATATATACTATTCTTCTAACCTTGCACGCCTATGCCTTAGCTAAAGAGTATGCTAGAAATAGAAGTTAGGCTTAGAATATAGGTCTTCTAGTTTAACTACTTTAGTATTATAAAACATAAGCCTTAAAAGCTTTATATTATAGTTCTATATATAAGGTAGATAGAATTAGGTAGCATTTAGTAAATTACCTACTACTTAACTATAAACTAGTCTATCTTAGAGCAGCCACTCCTAGACAACAGTAGAGGGGAACCACATCTAGGACTAAAGCCGCTCTAGATAGGGCAGGTAAAGGCTGCAGTAACAGCCCTACTAACACTAATTTATTACACCTTTATTATTAATAAAAGGCTAGTCTAGGTTGTAGTTAAAGTTAAAAAAGAGAATATTATACTTAAGTAAAATAGTAGAAGAATAATAAAAGTTCTAGTCTTATAAAAAAAATTAGCCTATATAATAAAGTAGCATAAAAGTAGCTTATATTAAAGTAGGTGTAGCTAATACTTTTCTTCTTTTATCTAGTTAGACTATAATTAATGTAGGTAAGGTAAGTAGTTATAATGTAATGCTAATTAAACATCTTTTAAATAAATGTTTACTACTTAATACTTAGTATAATAGCTATAGGCCTAATAAGCTTTTTATGTACAAAAGAGTTAAAAGGCAAAATAGCCCTAGTAGATATGTATATAAAGAGTAACATAGTAAGTAGATAAAAAGCAAAATAATAAAAAGTATAATATAGTAGGTAAAAAGTAAAAAGAAAGTATTATAGTAAATTAAAAGAAATTAAACCTAATTTAAAAAGGCTAAGGCTAGATCTGTTATTACATAAAGCTAAAACTAGATTTCTAGAGGCACTGCCTAAAATAGAATAGCGCAGGACTAATATAATTATAATAAAAGTAGACGTTACTAATAAAGCAAATATATAGTAGCAAGGCAGAAATGTACATGCACTATACAGAGTAGTCTATAAAATAACCTTAAAATACATAATATTAACTACCTTACCTATTAAACTAGGCAGAATTAGAATAGAGATGCTAGATACAGTAGTAATATATAAAAGGGCTACATATAACTAGCTATAAGTAAAGATAGGATGTTGTAGGTTAACACTAATAATCTTAAGTAACTAACCTTGTAACTTATTAATAGACATAGTAAAACAGAGTTAGACTAGAATCTAATACTAAATAATTAAAAAAAGTAAGGCATTATTATTCTTAGACACTAACTTTACATGCATAATTATTTAGATTTAACTATTAAACTTACTGCTAAGTGTAAGGCCGAGATGGCGCTTACGTGCGACAGGTATATATACTATTCTGCACC